GCAAGCTTACGCATCCTTTCAACCATAGCTAAATTATCCATCGATTTGTGCGTACGCCATTTTCTTTTGTCTGAAATAAGGAGATCAGAGCTCAGGAAGCACTGAAGATTTGTAGTCGTGAGCCGCAACGCCACTGCAACGTCAATCCCAAATCAGGACTGCACGCCTAACTTTTTGCCGTTGGTTTCCGATAAGAAAACTCGCGCAAGTTCCTCTCAAAGTTACCGCTAGCGAGCAAAGTAGACACTTTGCTTCTCCGTTTCCGACGACGCACTGGGAGTCGATGGGTGCGTTCGAAGCGATTTCTCCAAATGGGTTCTTGAGAAGAAATTGCACGGCTATTAATTTAACATGGATGTTGGGCGACGAAAACGTGTTGTCGCAGAAAAGCAATTAAGTTGAAATATCTTACATTTTTCTCCTGAATGTCCGGCAATAGAAGTGCCAGTCATTTTTGGTGATTATTTACGAGAGCATTCATTTGTTTTATGTATCGTCCTATGATTGTTCTCTCCTCGTTTAAACGAGTTAATTGCCTCTATTCTTAGGAAAATTTGTTATATCTCAAGCGAGACAAAAATTAATAAAAATCCACGCATTTTCTTGTCGAACATTAACCCCATCGAGAATTTCGATCTGTACTCGGAATAAGCCCTCTGAAAATATAGCCGTTCCAACCTTGCATGGGTTAAGAGTTCATGAATACATTATTTGTTAAATAATTCATTGAATCGGCAATAAAGTAATTATTTTTAGTTTACTAATGAATGAATTTTTAATCCACTCTTGAATGTTATTAGTGTCATTATTTCTACTCCAAAGGCACTCATCCATGTTACTTTACGCCAACTATTTTATTTCAACCGCTGTTTCAAATGCAAAGGCGAAGACGAGTTTGTTATGAGGAAGGTACCCGTTTAAGATATTGTTGCCAAAGACTTCCAACTGTCGTTTATTTTTCGACCTGCCTATTCGGGCAAAAGAGGTTATTTTGATCCTGTCCGCCGTTTACTTTTGCTGGAGGTCGAACATATCCGCAGTTTCAGGAACGAGGTTCGCCATCGAACTGATGGAGTCAATTCTCGCGAGACTCGAGGATTCAAGACGAAAACTTAAGCGAGAGTTTACTCGGAAATGTTGAAATGCTTTCCTCTCGAGGTGAAGATCAGCCTGGTCTTCATTTCTTTACATTCATTATTTGAGCTTCGATGAACATGACTCGGTAGTATTTTATTAGTTTTAAATTCATCATAATTAATAGATTATAAAATGATGCAACAATTAGAAAAATGTGAAATGTTTTAATTTTATGTAATATTAGAGTGGAAATAAAGAAGCAAAGCTTCCGTGTTTCTGGCTCAATATTTTTTATTCCGCTTCTGATTAATTATGTCTGAAACAAAGTAGGCAAATACCATGAACGGGGCTTTAAGTACATTAATTTCACGTATAAGCACAACTCGCTCTGTCTCATCTCAATTCGTTCAGTGTATCGAATAAAGGCATAGTAATTTGGTACCTTCAATATTCTTGCTTCCTTGCTCTTACTAAGTTGCTCGGAAACTAGTTTTGTTTTATCTCCTAAATGCATTTATCATCGTTTTTGCATGGCGCGATAAAACATCAGTTGAATGATGTATGTTCAATCAAAATCTATAATTCGGGTTTACCGCTCCATCATTCATTATAAATGTATATTTCTGCACTTTGTATCAATGCTACCATATTTGATCAACTGTTCAGCGCTAGGAGGTTCCAATTTGATGGCTAGGCTATTTTCTGCTTGAATTTGTCTAAAATTAGGAGCTAATGACAACGTAGCCTTGCAGTGTGACTGCGTTTTGCTCTTAGCGAGGTAACCTTCACTATAATCGTAATCACGATGTTGGGGATCCGACCAATCTCTTGCTACCAATCCTTCCATCGCTATGAAGTGTCACAATCTCCTTCGTACAGATTATACATTAATTGCTACTTGAGACTTGAATCACATCCAGAATCCTGGTTTTAATTACCACTACAACGCGCACTGTATGTTGTCTACAACCTTGCGTCGTCTGCAATTCTTACACTCATATCAATTGTGCGAGTGTTAGTCGTACAAATTGACATTCTTTGATGTCAAAACATAACGTGTGTTAACCTCGAAGTCATCACAACGTGTGAATATCTTGCCGTCATCACAACGTGTGAATATCTTGCCGTCATCACAGCGTGTGATGATCTTTAACCAAAACATGACAGCGTTACATGGCTTCGTTGTTGCTTTGCAAGCGTGACGAATCGCATGTTTGATATCGTGCAATTTGAACCCAATTAATTAGCTACCTTGAATTCACGCACTATTTCAACTGCATAATCTTCATCAAATTCTCAAGTGCTTACATCAAATAAGTTGGTTACCGTTTACCGGAAATTTGACACAAGTTACCAAGTTTCCTTTGTAAGGTTCAAAATATTTTCAAAATTCTTATTTTCTTAATTTTGATACACAACATACAGAAGGTCACCAATTTTTTAGTACCGTCAAGTGCTGTTTTTTGGATTTTCTTTGAAGGCCTCCTCATAGCCCTTCGAGAACTCGTTTGTTTCCTAGCCGTTAGCATTCAAGGCCTGTGCTCCTAGCGACCTCGGCTTTGCTGTGTCAGCATTTGAACACAGTAAGAACTTGCGCTCTGCTCTTTGAATGTACATAACTCGGATATTGGCTTTACTTGAACAAAGAGAAATGCAAATTGCTTTGTTTCGAGATGCTCTGATGTCCTATTAGTATAACAGCATTTTGATGAGGGTTTTACTGTGCGTTTCTCTTGCGTTCATTTGATATTGTCGCCGAAACATTGACTTAGATCCACTTAAGTTCATAAGAACGCGTTTTCAATGAGTTTTGGCATAGTTGTTACCTACAAGAATAGGATTGACTCGTTTTAAGGTACACATGCAAAATTGACGCTCATGTGAGGCAATGGTTGTCAAAGCGTCCGTCACTTTTGTCGGTACTGATTTTTTCTTGGAAATTTAGTCCTCGGCTCTGCATATTTATCGGTCCTTTTTTTCGTAAAACTTCTATCGTACTTTTGTTCATCGACAACTTCCGACTCTAGTTTCGACAAAATTTTTACTTTTTGTCGAAGTTTGGGCGTGTCCCGTCGGCGACGACGCCATTGTAGTCGTTAGCGAGGATGAGATCTGATCGAGGGGCGTTAATTCAAGGAAAATTTTCCTAAAAACATCACGCAGAGGCAGCGGTCACATTAGAACGGCCTAAACTATTTGCATAACTTGATTGTGCTCGTGATATGACTGCTCCGAATCTCCATACCGATCAGCATGGGCTTTGGCTGTCCTCCATCCCGGGCTGCTCCATATCGTGCAAAATACTCATTGAGAAGTTGTTTGTTTGAGTAAATTGCGTTTACACGCGCGTGAAGAACAAATGCGTTTTCGATAACATAACACGTGTGGAGTACAAACACTAACGGAAAGTATCTTCGTATGGATAAGTTGGATAACAAACACAAATTGATAACAAAAACGTGTGGAGAATAAACGCGTGTGAAGACGAATGCTTGTTAGAACAAACATCCGCGAAGAACGCATGTGGAGCACAAACATATCTGAAGCACTTACACGTTCGTACCTAATTCGCACGTTCGTAACTACACGCACGTTCGTAACTAATCGCAAAATTATCAAATTTGTATGCTACGATTTTTTTTCTGAATCCTGTACCGAGAGTTTCATCCTTTACCTATTTTTACTCGTTAGCGTGGATCATGATGCAGATTCCGCACTGTACACTGACTGAATGTACTGAGTTCAGTTTCCTCATAGTACACTGACTGAATGTACTGAGTTCAGATTCCTCATAGTACACTGACTGAATGTACTGAGTTCAGATTCCTCATAGTACACTGACTGAATGTACTGAGTTCAGATTCCTCACTGTACACTGACTGAATGTACTGAGTTCAGATTCCTCATAGTACACTGACTGAAAGCACTAAGTTCATGTCCCTCATTGTACACTCACTGAATATACTAAGTTCAGATTCTTCATTGTACACTGACTTGCAGTGCCTTATATAGAGGCTTGCGGGAGTCAGAATATGGAATACACAGGTTCGAACTTTTCGAGAAAGCATTATCAAGTAATAGATTGTGATTACTTCAGACGCAGAAATACCGGAATGTTCAGTAAGCCTGAGCTGTATAACTCACGCTTGTGTTAGATATGTGCAATACAGTCAAGATATCCACGTACAGGCTGCGTAAAGAGGATGTCCGCGCTGTACGTGTGACCTACATACGAGGCAGAATCTCTTGCTATTGTTGTTATTAATATATTATGATTATCTTTATATTTACTTGTATTAAAATTTGCTGGTGTAGTTGCAGTGGGTGTAGTTCATTGCTGCTGTTTTAATATGATTAATATTTGTATGTTTGTATTTTAATAATTCGATGTTGCTGCCGCTGGTTAAATTTTTTTCGCTGATGTTATTGACTTAGATGTTGTATGCTTTCGTTTGTTTACTTCGTTTTATTCATTATTTGTGTCGCTGATTGCTGTTTTATTTATTATTGATTTTTCACGTTTCATGTTCTTATTATTATCATCACCAGTTGTCATCGTTTTATTGATTTTGTTGTACCGCTACACAGATAAACTCCTGATAACCTTTTATTATAGAAATATTCTAGCGTTTTTTTATGTGCGGGTTGGTATACTGATGCAGACGTTAGCTTATGAATAAGTTAATCCATGTATGAGTACACTGAAGAATGTATGGGTACACTGGAGAATGTATGGGTACACTGAAGACTGTATTAATCCATGTATGGGTACACTGAAGCATTTATTAATCCATGTATGGGTACACTGAATGCTGTATTAATCCATGTATGGGTACACTGAAGCATGTATTAATCCATGTATGGGTACACTGAATGCTGTATTAATCCATGTATGGTACACTGAAGGCCTTGTTTGTGCGCAGGTCCTCCGGGGCGACGTGGCAAGCGCGGCCGCAAAGGCGACCTCGGGGAGCCCGGCGTGATGGTGAGGTGGCGTCTGGGATATAATGTCACGCTCATTATCACTAACTTGACCTGCATTCATGCTCATTATCACTAACTCCGCTTGCCTTCATGCTCATTATCACTAACTTGACCTGCATTCATGCTCATTATCACTGACTTGACCTGCCTTCACGCTCATTATCACTAACTTGACTTGCCTTCACGCTCATTATCACTAACTTCACTTGCCTTCATGCTCATTATCACTAACTTCACTTGCCTTCACGCTCATTATCACTAACTTCACTTGCCATCATGCTCATTATCACTAGCTTCACTTGCCTTCACGCTCATTATCACTAACTTCACTTGCCTTCACGCTCATTAGCACTAACTTCACTTGCCTTCATGCTCATTAGCACTAACTTCACTTGCCTTCACGCTCATTATCACTAATATCACTTGCCTTCACGCTCATTATCACTAACTTGACTTGCCTTCACGCTCATTATCACTAACTTGACTTACCTTCACGCTCATTATCACTAACTCCACTTACTTTCATGCTCGTAATCACTAACTTCACTTACCTTCATACTCATTATCACTAACTTGACTTGCCTTCACGCTCATTATCACTAACTTGACTTACCTTCACGCTCATTATCACTAACTTCACTTACTTTCATGCTCGTAATCACTAACTTCACTTACCTTCACGCTCATTATCACAAACTTCACTTGCCTTCACGCTCATTATCACAAACTTCACTAACTTGAACAAATTGTGGGAGTTTGGTATACTCATAAACGATGTACTGCAATGGCGCTGCTAGAGCTATATTCTATTGAGCAAATATGTGAACCGGTAGATAAAATATAGAAAATGATATAATTTTACTTGTTCTGGTTTTCCTGGAGGATCTTGAGCTGTTGAAACATGAAGAATATGACGAGTTCTACATTAGTATATTTGCATTGAAATGACCCATATACATAACAATATGCAATATTGACAATTTGCTTAAACTGTTTTGATTGTGAAATTTTACCTCATATGCTGCTATGTAAAATTTTTATAATCATTAATATCTGTTCAATGAATTATATTACCTATACGTGATTATCAACTTTATTGGATGATCAACTTTATTCGAGTGAAATAAATTTATTCGTTGTACTGATTTCTCTGTATTTGTGCGAACACTAATTATAACCTTTGTGTAAGTGAATAGTCAACTTTATTCGAGCTAACTAAACCAATTTGTTGCACTAATCCTCTTGGTTTTGTGCTGCATTTGCCTGCATCTCTCAGGGGCCTAGTGGACCTCCGGGGAAAAACGGGTTTCCGGTACGAATCCCTGCATGATACTAAGTGCTATTTCATTCCTTAATTGCATGCACGCTTTGCATCATTTCTCGCTTGAAGAAATTTAGTACAATTTTTATAAATATATTTGTTTATCTAACAAAATTAATGGAAGTTTGTTTCTCCGCTGTGGCGCTCAATTTTGGAACGGCTTCGTTCTGTGGAACATATATTTTTTACACGAATTTGGTGCATGGCTTCAGAGCTTTCATTGATTATTGCTCAGTCCTTCTATATTTTCATCCGCGTGTTCGTGGGCGCAATATCTTTATTGACTCCTGACGTTTGTTGTTCCGATTTATTTTTTCGCTGTCAAATTGAAAACTTTTATTCAACGATTTTGAGAGCCAGCCAGCTCACTCGGCAGGGATGGGGCAGTAAGAGATAATATTCTTTCTATTTATGTCTTATCGAGCTACAAAAATTGAAAGGACAATTGATGATTGGCTTGTGATAATTAGCTGGTGAATTAGTGACCTGATAGGTTAAACTCGTATTTTGCTTACTTGTTAATCTATGACGATTGGCCGTCGAACAATTGGCTGCCGAACGCTAGGCCAGTGAATGATTTGCTGCCCAACGCTAGGCCAGTGAATCATCGACAGTCGAATGATTGGCTGGTGAATCATTGACTGTCGAATGATTGTCTGGTGAATGATCGAATGGTGATTAGCCCCCGATTGGCCAGCAAGCGCAGAACTGCCCCTATATATGTAGTGCTGGACTGGATGTGGCGGCGTCCATCGTGTGGATGAGGAATTAATTGGCGGTCGGTGCGGAAAAAAAGATTACCTGGAAATTAGTATGTTCAGACAGATGCGTTTTGTCAGAGATTTTTATCTCTGAGTAATTGGGCGGTGCCACTCAATTGCGCCCGAGAACATGATTGCTAGGGCGACCAGAGTGGATTTTAGGTCGTCATATTCACCATATCCGAAATACATTTTCTTGCCCGGAGTACTGCATGGCGTTTGTTTTGTGGGCCTTAGAATGTGAGCCAAAATAGATAATAATTTTCTTCGTCTTGCTCTTAGTTTTACGTAATTTCGAATTGATTGAGAACGAAATTTATATTGTGAAGTCTCTGGTTTTATTGTAGAATTTTGTTGAACTTCAGTCACTTTTCAGCTCATTGACGAGGTCTTGTTACCTTGAGAAATTTAGAAATTTATCTTGAGAAATTTCACTTTTTAATCCCCCGATAAAGCAAATTAAATTTGTGTTTTTAGATTATCTATTTCCTGTATGCGCTTTTTCGTCTTTGAATTAGATGTTCATTTTGCAAAAATGTAAGTCCTCTTTGTTGTATCGATGTCTGTTTCAACTATCAACATGTCGCTAGGACTTTAATTTATTGTTATATCTGTGTGTTGATTTTTGCATGGAAACATTTAGATATTAACACTCCGCGCTATCAGTGATTCCAAATCGCCATGCAGCTTTTTGCCCATGTGTGGATAATACAGACCCAATCAGGCTGGCAAAAGGGCGTATCAGTATCACGGGCTGAAATTTCGATACTTTTTTAGAAAGTATGACCTATACATTTTTCAGAGTGATTAGAGATTCCCTGTCATCAAATTTATGCATTATTTTCATTTCTATATATATTGGCTGACACTCATCTAGCATATCAATGTCTAATAGCGAACTAATCTTCTCATTTATTTGGTTCATTTACCAATCTTATCATCAATTAATGATGGCATTACATCAATTAGTTATGTTCATCTGCCATGAACTTTGTTTTATTATCATTCCAATTTCATCTTCATGCTGCAGGGCCCCATCGGCTTGGACGGTCCCAAAGGCGAACCCGTGAGTATTTACGCGACTACTAAACTAAAATTTATAATAAAATTGTAATTATTTCTTATTTTATTGGAGAATGATCAAAATTAGATTATCTTTTACTCCAAACTTCGAACACCCACCAGTATCTTCTAACTGACTACACTGATGATTGGAGTAATCTAAATGCTGGCACTATTTACCCTAGATTTAACTGTAGAAATGTTGCCCATTATTTACTCTGAATTTAAAGCGGCAATTGTTACACATTGATTACCTTAAATTCAAGTCAATAATTATAACCTACTGATAACCCTGTATTTTTGACAAGAATTGTAACGGTTGTCGTTGTAGTTTTTTTTTTGGTATGCTTACATTGATGTAAGTCGCAAAATATATGGAAGATTCCAATACTTGTTCACTCAGTTTCGTAACTTGGGTATTCTCAGCATTCGGTATTGCGTATACCCGATTAAAGTTTCTCGATTTTTTCGTGTATCTTGTGAATCTCGTAAATCATCATTCACGATGATAAAATTATTATTTTTGTAATGACATACATATAATGAAGTTCTTGCTTGAATGAATGGCAAGATTTCTGGCAAGGTGCATAGTGTCCCACAATAATGTCTCCGGCTCCCTAATGGATTCTACGTCGTATCTTTGCTTGCAATTTAGACAATTACAGTTTCTGCGTTCTTTATTCTGTCGTTTGGCACCCAAGACTCTTTTTGTGAAAAAACATACATTGCGTAAAGAAATTAAAACTAAACTTGTTAATTTGAAGCGGATATATAATGGATTAGAAGGGGATATTATTGTAGGAGACCCTACGTATTTATTCTTAGAGCATAATGCTGTGCAGGGTGAGCCTGGTCCTAAAGGCGCCAAGGGTGACCCTGGCTCTGGCTATGAACTCATCTCAAAGTCGAAGGTGAGTGACTCATGAGGGATACAAGTTTTCTTATAATTCTTATGATTTGAAATTTCGTTTTCATTTACATTGAATGCTATGACAAGCTATGAAAATTAAGCAAAACAGTGACATTTTCTAAGAGAGAAACACGGTTCTTGTTTACTGAGTAAGCTTGAAACTGTATATTTCTTCAATATCTTAAAAGATCGGATAAATTTTACCGAAAAATATTTTTGTCAAAGCCGTTAAGTAAACGGCTGTTTCAAAGAATTTTACAAATGATTCTCCTTTAAGCTCGTTTAATGTGATTGCTCATTGATCTAAACGCCCAAGGACTCTTGGAAACTTCGAAGATGTTGACGCAATTGGTGAAACTTAGAGGAGGAAGTGCAAGACTTGAGCGGCTCAAAGGCGTAGCGTTGGAAGCGCCTAGCTGCTATTAAGTGTTGGTGGACAATTGGTCGATTTCTTGAACTTAGTGGCGCCAGGTCATTGCTGTAATTTTTATTCACTAGTATTGTTATTTTACTTATTTATACAAAAAATCAACGTACTATTGATGAAATAATTTATGTGCAACTAAGACAGATTTTTTACTTCATGGAAGAACGAAATGACTCGATCAAACTTGAAAACTTTCGGCTGCACTTGTGTGCGTATGATTTCATTGCTCGTTTCTGTAACATAAGCGATATCTGCTATACGACGCTGGTCATGAATGGACTGCTGAGATGTCGTTATGGTCTCCCACGAAACTGGAACTTCTTGAACCCTATAGAACTTTTAGAACCTCGGGTAAGCCATATTGGGCTTAACATTACTTAAACTGAATTGAGAATTTCTCAATGTAGTTGTCGCTCGTGATGCTCACAAAGCTAGGACGCTGCGTTGGCCTATGTCTACAAATGGGATATTTTTCAGTGTAATCGTCGCGAAAGATAGTCATAAAGTTGGGATACTGCATCGTCCCAGCGCAAAAATAGCCAGTGTCTCTGTCGTAGTGTAGGTGTGATATATTGATGCTCAGAAAGCAAGAATGCTGCTTCGGCCTAGTGCAACAACAGAGTTTCTTCAGTGTAGTTGCAGCTGTCAATGTTCAAAAAGTTAGGACACTGCGTTGGACAATTGCCACCACGAGGTTTCCTAGCTCAGTGTAGCAGCTCACGCAATAAAAACATTGCGTTGCCTTCCGTCCTGGTGCGGCAGTTTCCTCTTTCTTTTCGGTGCTCCAAGTTCGGTGCTTGAGCTTCTCTTAACGGCACCGCAGGCAACAAGTTGCTTTGCAGGTCTTACGAGCTTCTTGATGAACGACCAACTCGAGGAAAAACTTTTGTCTGGGCTGCCACTTGGTAGCTTTGCACTAACTTTTCGCCATTAACCTTTGCTACAAATATTGCCACTGTATCACAACCATTTCCTCTGAACCATTTATTGTTACTTATTTTCATGTGTCATATATGATGTCAACATCTCAACTGTACAGTTATTTTTACATGGAACTAATTTTTCAAAATGGGTAATCATTCACATACAAAGGCTATGATTTCAGGCTTAATTCATTCAATATATGTAATAGCTGGGAAATGATCTGTGGCTGCCCTCAAATTGAGGCCAGAGACAAAAGTTTACAATTTTATCCTTTTCTTTTTGGTGAAGAAAATTAACATTATTTCCTGGCATCCAGCAGCTTTTCTTGGCTCATATTTCGATGTGTGATTCAAACTTTTAACTTAGTGGCATATCCTGTTAAAAAAACAATTTGTTTCCACTCATCCTTCGAAATTTTTGGCGCACTCATTTCTTTTGAAGATGATTGATATTTAATTTCCGAATACTTCACTCAACTTCCGTCATGCATTGCTACATGATTCATTTAATTCTTGCGCGCCACATTTACCAACGTTTATACACTGTTACCTCTGTAATGAGCCTGCCTTGTGCGCCTCAGGGCGTGAAGCGCTCCATCACGACGCTCGAGGGCGGCGCGCTCGGCTATGCGGAGATCATCGCTATAAAGGTACCCGCCATACGACTGTCTCTTGTTACTTTAAAATGCATGATACTTCTGTAGTTCTATACAGTACAGTTGCTAAATTATGTGTGTAGGCTTCATTATTTGAACAATGAACCTTCACAGGTGAAACAGTGGAGTCTTCACTTCGCCACGTGGAGGAAAAAGCGGCCATGAGCTTAAGTTTTATCTTAGACCTTAGCTTCCGATTATATCCTCCATTAATTTATTAGCGGCTATTTCTTCTACTTGAGTCACATAATTTTGTATGAACAAGATTTCAAGGCTTCATGAGCACAGGACGGTTATTACGCATGTTATTCCTACGAGACATCCTTGTGCCACTTGATCCTTCAGTACAATCCTGCATTGCACGAGTCTCCCATGTGCTTGGTAAAACAAGTCCTTTTACAAGCATGCTCATACTTTGCTTCTACGCTCCCTTCTTAAGTGAATGAAAATATTATTTTCCGACAAGTTACGAGCTAGAGGATAATTTTGCCCATTCTACATAGTCACATGTATTTCATTATCCCGATATTTATTTTGGTTATGCATACGCGAGAGCAGGCGACTGTGTCTTGTGACACGCACGCTGAGTGCTGTGACACGCACGCCTAGTGTTGTGACACGCACGCTGAGTGTTGTGACACGCACACTGAGTGTTGTGACACGCACGCTGAGTGTTGTGACACGCACGCTGAGTGTTGTGACACGCACAGTGATTGTTGTGACACGCACGCTGAGTGTTGTGACACGCACGCTGTGTTGTGACACGCACACTGAGTGTTGTGACACGCACGCTGAGTGTTGTGACACGCACACTGTGTTGTGACACGCACACTGAGTGTTGTGACACGCACACTGAGTGTTGTGACACGCACACTGAGTGTTGTGACACGCACACTGAGTGTTGTGACACGCTCACTGAGTGTTGTGTGCGCAAATTTTGGCTGAAATCTTTTCGATATCTGGGAATGACTTTTTTTGTTTTACATTTGAACGCGACTTAGATCGAGTCATAGTACATTCGCCTCGTATTTTTTATCTATTATTTTTACATTTTGTATTTTGTTTTGTTCTGTTTTCTTGTTTCAGGGAGACTCGCCCGAGTCTTGGCGGTATCCTGATGCTAGTAAATTAGTTCTTATCAAAGTAAGTGTCATGCATCTTGTCTCCGTAGATCCTGCTGTGCCGTTGCTTGCTTTATAGTCTTATATGTAAATCAGTAGTTTTAAGTAATAAATAGATACAATAATACACATGAACTTTGTGTGGTTAAGATTTCCATGTTATTGATGTCTCATGTTGTAATTCAATGCCTGCTTATACGCGTTTCTTAAGAAAATTCTGAAAATAAAGCAGAAATATCAATTATGTCAATTTTTCGAACAGTTTAGTGTTTCTTCATCTACTATACTTTTATGTCTGCCAAGCGTGCATTGAAGACGCATTAAATAGCGTAATTGAGTGGATTTATTCTTTCTACAATATAATTGAAATAGTTTTTAACAAATTCTAAATGATCTGATTATCTGTTTGGACTAACACTAACTTTCGATAGATAATTTGATTGACATAATATATTTAATAAATAATCTGATTACATAGTGTTTTTGCTGCTTATCCTACAGTCGATCGCATGGAAATAAGTCTTCTAACTAACACCGCCTAACTCTTGTATTTTGTCCATAATTGCCAAGTAGCTCATCAGCAAATAACTATAAATTAGTTGGCGTAGTTGGAACTTCAATTAATCTGCGTTTCGTCCGAACCCAACTTTGCATATAATTATTATCTATTTTGTTCGCAGTTTTTTAATCCTGCTTACTTGACAGGGAGACCCGGGTCCCCCTGGACCCCCGGGCCCCATGGGACCCCCCGCGAAAGACGGTCTGCCGGGACTAGACGGGCGGGACGGCTACCCTGGGGAGCCGGGAAGTCCCGGGCCAGCGGGACCTGAGGGACCGCCTGGGCCCGTGGGACCGCCGGGACCCAAAGGAGATGTGGTGAGCAGGCCTGATCACGGCACAGACATTCAGGAGAAAAAAGCTCGGGAATTTTCTGTTAAATTTTCTCATGAATATCTTTTACGTTTACGGCGTTAAAAATGCCGTATATTTTTATGGATCCTTAGCCGCGTTCACATGACCGCTTCTGTTATAAATTGCTATTCATTTCCTGCCCTTCGATGATCATTGCAAGCTCCATAACTTATATATTCATGTGATGAATGTATCATCGTCTAGACTCGAACGATATGATACAATCGCTTTGCTACAATGATTGACTGGTACCCATAGTAGTACCATAGTCCCTTGGATGGCAAAGACTTGGCATGCTAGTATGCGGCTTGTCATAATATTCTGTGTCCGACTTGAGCTTTTCTTGGTTCTTTTCGCGTTCGCAAGACAAACTAGTTTTGTTGTCTCTATCGAATTGCCATCGGCATGGCAATACTCCGGCACGGCAATCCCGTCAACAAACTTGGAAAAAAACAAACAAGTCAACAGTTGACGGCAAAACGGAATATCCGACGTTCCTGCGTTTGGGCGTGGAGCTAAAGATCACCGTCGCTGGTCCACTTATTATTATTATTATTTGTTTTATTATAGCATTATTTTTAGTGCTGCGTTTTGCAATGTTCATTATAGTATTAAGATATTTGTCTCGTGATCTGTTGTCGTTTCCCTCAAACCTGTTTATCTATTCACATATTGTTGCGACTAATTCTTGCGTAAATTTGATCTGAAAATCATAAAAAATGAAAATAAGAAAATTACACTTCATTTTCATTCCCAATAATCGTATACTCTAGCTTGACTTCAACTTTTTGAATACTCAAACACTCAAACAAATCAATGCACCCACTATTTGAACGTTCGTCTACGGTAACAGCAGCCGGAATCAATGGCACCCGTAACTGCAGGCCTGGTGACGAGCGTTACCTTCACAGGGGGTTAAAACTTCTCATTTAATACTGAATTAATGTCCGTGTCCCTTACATATTGGCGCCGAGAGGCGGTAAACAAAAGGTATAAACCTAAATGCTAATCCCTTGATCCTGAAGTTCATACCTCCTACGCAGGGTCGTCGCGGGGTGCACGGGCGTGTTGCAAAGCGCGGCAAGCCCGGCCTCAACGGACCGAAGGGAGAGACCGGCGAGCGCGGACTGCCTGGCGAGAAAGGTGCGATCTTATTACATGAGGGAAATATCCATGTGAATATTTAAATATTAATGTGACAAGCTGCATTTGGCTAGCTTCTAAAACCAAGTTCTTTTAACTCTTATCAGACTGCATTGTGCAGAATTTTACGTTATAATTATACCGAGTTTGGTTTCAGTTGTACCTATGCAGTCCTAGAGTTAAAACACATATTATTATATGCTTGGCATAAGAGACTCATGTTCAATACGTGTAAAAATATTGAAATGATCTGCATTCACTGCGCTTGTAACACGTAGTAGTATATTTAAAACATAGATATGCTGGGCGTATAATAAACATGTTCAATATGAGAGTTGAAATGGAATACATCTGCCTTGGAATTGTACTTGAATGAAAATCCAAGTATTTTTTAAGTCTCTCAACAAAAGTTAATAAATCAAGTAGAAACTGCATGTCTTTCAGGTATTAAAGAAAATAATAACAACTTTACCATACTGTATCAAAAGCTTGTTGTTATGATCTGCATCAGATTTAATCTGAGAAAAGCTATACATGCAATGCGAGACAAATTTATTTCTCAGTTCTGAAACTAAAGCTAAACGTGGAGCTTTTTGAAAGTTAAAAATTAAACGAAACAATTTACTGTATCAAGTCTAGAGTTTCAGTTTTAAGATAAAGTATATTTTACAGGCGAGAAAGGTAGTTTAGGGGCGATTGGCCCCAAAGGGAACCCCGGCATCCGGGGCCCGCCCGGTATCGATGGTATGCACGGGGAATCTGGGCCTCAGGGCCCGCCTGGCCTGCCCGGCATGCTGGGGCCCAAAGGAGAGAAGGGCGACTACGGGGACATCGGGCCTCCCGGCCTCATGGGACCACCGGGCCTCCCTGGGCCTCCGGTAAGACTTGGTTTTACTTTTAACTTTTGTTTGAAAATCATTATTGTTTTAGCTTTTCGTTTCTTCGCAAGTTTGTATCGATATTTTTTGTTTGTTATTTTTTTTTTGGGGGGGGGGGATTTTTCCGAAAATTTCTCGTAAATTTATCATAGGTTGACATCTTATTTTGATGAATCTGATTCAAAAAGAAAAAATATTCCTACTCAGCTGGTCCGTTGAGGCATTTTTCACTTGTTTCCTCGAGTATTTGATCTGGCAAATTCGAATAATTTTGTCTTGTAATCTTATATACCATGAATTAATTTTTTTAATAATTTCGTTCCAAATTTTCGGTGCCCTCGTGTGTCTATGTTAATATTGATCATATATTAATTTGTCGGCATTGAAAATTTTAAAATTGTCTTTTAAAATTGGCAATTTTAAAATTGTCTAAAATTGTCTTTCATTTAAAATTTTAAAATTGTCTTATTTTCTCGCAGGGACTGCCAGGTCTGCAAGGCGACAAGGGCGACAAAGGAGACTCGGTACGAATGCAATCGTTTTAATTTCGGTTAAGCTTTATCCAATGTGACGTTTAAATTAAATGTTTGAAATATATTTCTGAACTTAGCGTTGAATATGATGATACTTACAGTCAAGAGTATTGAATATACAAGAATTGCTGAAATATTTCTTGGATATATTTTATTGCTTGTATTGCGACAAGGGCGTGTTCATTTCATGTTTCATAGTTTCACATCATTACATGAAATTTTAAAGCCATACTGTATAGTTTTTTGTGTGTTGATGCTTTAAATTTTCATATTAAGTGATAATAAAGTTGTTCATTGTTACATTTTGTCCAGAACTTAGGGCTACATGCAAAATGTTAGTACTTCGACCGTAATGGCATTTGAAATTTTGAAATTTATTCTAATTTTATTCCGGCATAACTTCTACTACTTGAGAAAGTGAACAGCCAGGCTTAATAACTCATTGACAATAAAAAAATTTGATTTGAAGACGAAACTCTTGTTTTTTCTGTAGGCGAGAAAACTCAACTCTAGTTTCGAAGCCAGATTTAACCGTAACTTTTATTATCGGTTGAATTGAAATGAAGCTGTTCAGTAAGATAAATGTATCAAATACAAAATTTATACCAGTCATGACAATTTAAAAATCAAATTATTCCAAGATTTATCCAGAATAATGCATATATAAGATATACCAGCTATTAATATGTTAGCGAAGGCACGCATTCCATTGATATTTTCTGCTGTAACTGCTGTAAATGTGATGTAAAAAATGTGATGTAAAATGTTGGCGTTACTGGCAATTTGGCTCCCTCATCCCCCCTGCCTCAAGGACGCTCCCGTCGCGCGGTCTGTGGCCGCTCGGCCAACTAGAGGGCGCTTTGTAAGTGTGTCCCGCCCCCTCCCCCTCCTGCTTAAGTCAACTAGTATCATGACTATGCATCTACTTAACTTCCGGAGGAGTCATGCTCTCCCCCGCCCTACTTAACTTGACTAGTACCATGACTATACGTCTACTTACTTTAGGACGCTTCATGCTCTCCCCCGTCTTACTCAACTTGACTAGTACCCTGACTATGCACCTACTAATCTTACACCAAAATAGGTATGAGTATAGGAGATTGTGGAGGGTTTACCGACGCCTCCGCTAACTTAGCGTGCCTCGTACCCCGACTATCTGCTCGCTTATTTTCTATCAAAATAAGTAACTGCAACCCCGGCAGTGGCGAGCCTTGCCATTTCCCGACAGTTTTATGCTGAATACTTGACGACTTTCCTTCTCTTATGCAGAGCCTCAATATTAGCTTGGTGACGTAAATAAGCAGCGCTTTATAAATTCCTGTAAAAGCAAAAACTAAAATTTAATAATTACCGCGAACAAAGTTTTTCGTTTTTTTTTTTGTCACAATAGCTTCTAAACTTAACCTTCATTCAGTCCATTCTGCGTAGCCTAAACGAGGATTGTTACAATTCTTAATTATTTTCAATTTAATATTTATCTATTGACACAAATTCGTAAATCCTCTCAAATTTTCAGTGGTATTCAAATAGTTCTCAACATCATTTGCATATTTTAACGTAAATCGCTGCTTTCAAACGAAGACATGACGACTTCACGACGGAACCCAACGGCTCTCACTAAACTCCCTCGGACGCCCGCCAGATTTCTAAAATATTCTTCTATGTAGATGGATAAGTTTGATGTTGTGGCTGCATGTTGACATAATACTTTGCTTTCTTGGGGTCTCTCCACCGTCGTGGCGGCCTCCTTCTCTCTTACAGAAATTGAAAAAGATTCGCAGAAGACAGGTACGTGAGCTGTGATTTTGATGGGTGTGCATCAGACAGCTGACGTTGAAATGACGTTGAATTTCAATGATGTTGTTTAACGAAACGTTGATTACGTTGATTTCAACCAAATCGACTACTGTTTCATGAAACGTTTATTACGTTGTTTTCAACGAAATCAACCGTTGTTTAACAAAACGTTGATTAATTGGTTTCAACGAAATCAACTGCTGTTTAACGAAATTTGATTACGCTGTTTCAGCGAAATCAATTGTTGTTTAATAAAACGTTGATTAATTGGTTTCAACGAAATCGACTGCTGTTTAACGAAACGTTGATTACGTTGTTTCAGCGAAATCAATTGTTGTTTAATAAAACGTTGATTACGTTGTTTCAGCGAAATCAATTGTTGTTTAATAAAACGTTGATTAATTGATTTCGACGAAATAAACTGTTTAACGAAGCGTTGAATACGTTGTCAACGAAATCAACTTATAATCAACGTCGTTTCATCGTCATTTGCCTGGAGGGTGACTTCTGATGTGGCGCGTGCGGTATGGAACGGTTACAGAAACACTTATTCATACATCATATTTTAAAATTCCTAAATATTGCTACGTATTTCTGACGGGGGCTGAAGTACAAGACTAGATTAATTTTGAGTGTTATTATTTGTAATTGTTTTTGATGAGGCTTGAGAAATAGATTAGTTATCATTTCATTATTCTGCTATGAAAGTTTTGTTGAAACATTTTTACATTTATCATGTTGCTGGTGAATTTTGTGAGATTTTATTGTTGAAATATTGAAATTTTATTCATTACTTAGCTTGTCTCTTAATTTATGCTAAACATTTCTAAATATTTTTATAACTTGATATTTCAGGGAACAGCGAACTCCTGGCAGGTTGAAGAAGTGGTGAGTCGATGGAATATATGAGTTTTTGAATCTTTTGAACAAATTATATTTCCTCTCCGTAATTAGAACTTTAAATTCGCATAATTTTCTCACATTATTGCATCATTTCTAGCTACAACTTTACGGTCATTTCGCCTGGCATTTTGATCAGTAATTTTTGTTGAAAATATTGCTGTGCTTATTCGTAAATTTTTATTCACAATAACTCGCATAGATTATATTACTATGTTCGTTCGAAATTCCTGTTATTTATTTTAGAATAATTATTTATGCTGAAGATATTATTGCTCAATTAAGCAAAATATTGTGCCTTTCAGGTGTCTGGCCCTCCCGGCCCCCCAGGTGTGCCCGGTCTGCCCGGTCTACAAGGCCCCCCCGGCATCAAAGGAGACCGTGGTCTGGACGGTCTAAAGGGAGAGATGGTGAGTCTTGCATGAATTAATTATAATTATGATTATTATATTTGTGGATACTATTTAAATTGTTTTTAAATTGGGTAATATATTTGCTCGAGGCCTAATTGTTAACAAATATGGATTTATTTATTTCATTTGTAATGTGTAAAGTGCAGAAGACTTACTATGCCTTTCATGCAAATGACTTCACAACAACCTTTAATCAACGATATTTCAACATCAGATATGGGAAAGACCATGGAAAGTTTGCTTCACATCGTTGTTTCTGTGGGTAAATTCACGACGGTTTGAGTTTATCGATGATTTATTGCTTTGTGTTCATGTGGAAATCTGAGTATTTGAAAAAAAATTAATTACCAAGTTTAAAATTTGAATTTCCTTATCATTATTTATTTTTATTTATATTTATCTATTTATTTATTTTATTCTTTATTTATTCAAATCATTATTTATTTTTATTTATTCATTTTTATTTTGTTATTTTATTTTATTGTTTATTTTATTACTTGTTTAATTGGGTTTATTTTTTACCATTTTCATATTATTTTTTATTAAATTATTCCTAGTATTGCTTAGTGCTTTTTGAATTGGTTTGTTACTTTCAATTAACATTCGTTTTTGTGTCCCCTGCTGCAGGGTCTGCCTGGAGAGAAGGGTGACCCTGGCCCCATGGGTCTACCTGGCCCCATGGGGCTACGGGGGGAAAGCGGTAGGCCTGGGGACCCCGGCAAAATAGGCCCCGAGGTGAGCAGAAAATACTGAATCTAAAAAATGAATGAATTCATAGTTAGTATCATTCCCTAGATTCTCAATTGATATTCAAGGCAGCGTTCCTCGATATTTTTTGGCCCTCTCTTTGTATTCGATATCCTGTGTCTTTATCAGTGCCTTTGCTCGCGAGCTTCTTGTATTTTCAAAGAATTTTGGTTTGTGATTCGTTAAATTTTTCTAAAAAATCTAACTAATGTTAAAATAAATCATGTATTGAAGATATCGATTTTATTAACCACACTCACATCCCCTCTTTTTTCCCTAAATTTGTAGGGGCCACCAGGACTCGACGGCTTCAAGGTGCGTTCGTAATGTGATAAGTTACGATTGTTTATCTCTTGCTAATTGCATTGACTATTTATAACGCTTTTAAAATTAGTGTTTGATCCATTTATATTTTGTGTGCGAATCAAAAATGGCAATCAATTAATCATCATCGCTCACGTCATTTGATGGATGAGCAGCGTTATAAACAACGAGTTTTTTAGATCTTTAAATCATCATTCCTGCGTACAGTTTGCACTTTTTTTTAAATGTTTATGGTAATCGCTATTATTCGATCTAATCAGTGAATGATCACGACCAAGATCTGAATCTATTTTTGCCAGAATCTCATGTATTTATAATATTTATTTTTGTTTGTACTTCATTTATCATATGTAATTTGCAAACACGTTACGTACAAAACTAACATTACATGCGTTCATGCGTACAGGGAGCGCGCGGGGACCCCGGCAAGAAGGGAGAGAGGGGCGACGTGGGACTGCGGGTAAGACTTGCCAATACAGTACTGAGTTTACATGAAAATAATTGTCATATTACTCTTCGCTTTCAATCAAACTTATTTTCATACTATTCTTCGTCTAATTCCCTTCGTCAAATTCCCTTCGTCAATGCTATTCGTACGAGAGCTGGCGTCGATAGGCAGAGGGTGAAGTGTTCGATTCACAATCATGTTGAGTTAGGCTACAATGTTGCAAATGATTGTATGTAATGCTGTAAATTATTGTATGTCATGCTGCAAACAATAGTTTGTAATGCTGTAAATGATGGCAGATGATGTTTAAAATGATTATACGTAATTCTGTAAATTATTAATGTTGATGTCATGCTGCAAACTATTGTATGTAAGGGTGCCGAATTATTGTCTGTATTTCTGATTATTATAATTATAATTCAATCACAACTAATTTCTGACGCTTGACAGGGACCGAAGGGGGAGAAGGGCATGAAAGGGGGGCGGGGGCGGCGAGGCAAGAGGGGGGAGGTGGGCATGAAGGGGGAGATGGGACTGCCGGGGCTCGATGCCCCCTGTCCCACGGGTCCCGACGGCCTCCCCCTGCCGGGATGCGGATGGCGGGTCCCGCAGGTGAGGCGGGCCTGGTCCCCTTGGGCTCGTTTTTTCTCAGTTTTCATTTTTTTCTCAGTTTTTCCTCAGTTTTTCTTAAGTTTTTCTTCAATTTTCCTCAGTTTTTAAGGGTTTATCTTCGCGTTTAAATGTTTTCTTCGCGTTCAAGGACGTATTTTCTTTTTAAGGATTATCCTGTACGATTAATGTTTACCCACGTGCTAAGGTGTACTCATGTTCTAAGGTATACATTCATATTTAAAGTATTAACTTCTCGAGATTAAATTTTGTACTAACTCATCGCCTCCTAACGCTAATCTGTTGGTCTCAGGGCCTCAAGTTTACTGCTAACATTTGCGCTCTTGTCTATGTCTGCAATATATATTTATAATGCTTCTTGCCAGCGTTTGTTCTATGACTAAGCTTCGCTTTTAATTAAAGATCCATTGCAGGATCGCCTTTCCCAGTTTAGAATCCACAAGATATATTTTTCACTGATTGGAGACAAGATTTTGTTGTTCACTTTTATTTATGAATGGAAATGTTTATGTAAATATATATTAACAAATTTGGCCATGCAATACCAAAAGTGATTACCAACCTGACATATATTCAGTTTACTGTTCATACAATCATACTGCTTTACTCTGGGATAATCTGTTCAATTATGGTCGTGAAATTGATGCTCCTACATGGCAAATGCTCTAATTTCTTGACTGTTCTTATGGGTCATATTAAAGCCCTAATATGTCTGCTGTTCCTAAGCTCTCATTATTAGTCATTAATCTACCTTCCATATGCACCCTATTGAATCTCAAGTTAGTGTAACGTCCATATGCACCCTATTGAAGCCCATGCCAGTTTACCGTCTACATGGACCCTATTGCAGTCCAAGTTAGTCTACCCTAAAGAAGCCCTAATTTGTACATGATCACACGAGCATTCCTTCACACTCGCCGACTATTCGCGTCAAAAACGTGGTCCTTTTTTTCTACCCGCATCATCTCACTGTTGCTGCGTCTAACGCTAAATTTTCTTCATCGACTCCTTATATTTATATTGCTTGTCTTCAGGTATGCCTCTGACCTCATTTGGCTTTATTTATTCGGTTTATTCTTCATATTGAGCTTCTTTTTCGCTTCAATAAGTCAGCTAAACAAGGTGCATAATGAACTTTGCCATTAATTATGCTTCATAATGTCCGAAATATACGTACGTACCTTATTTTGCCCAATGACAAACTTTATTGCGGCCAGAAATACACTTCAAAATTATTAAAATACTTCATTATGGCTAATAACCTACTTCTGAATGCCAAAAAATCATACATAATAATGGCCAAGACTACAAATGTAATGAAATCAATGCTCGCGACTAATGAACGCAACGCCCCGCCATGAGCAGGCTGGTGGGCGGGGCGTCGAGGGACGCGTTGTTGTGCCGCACCCGCCACACCATCAGTCGTCTGCTGCTAACATCCTCGCGCCTGACCCTTATAGCGACCAGCCTGAAGCTTATAGCGACTCGCCTGATGCTTATAGCTACTCGTCTGATGCTTATAACAGCAGCACGCCTGAGCCTAACAACAGCAACACGCCTGATACTAACAGCAGCTCGTCTGCAGACAATACTAACAGCCTCCACTCTCCTGTTAACCCATCTTCTCCGGCTGCTCTGCGCCGTACCCAAGACTAAGGTCTGTTGCGAGCTGCTCAACAGGTGCGCATTCATCCTGATATTTTCTTCTACTTTAAGACGATACAATGTTGGCATATTCAATCCTTAGATTTCGGTAATTTTTCGTCGTGATGATACGTGTTTTTTCTCTTGCTTTTCAGAGCCATGATAACATCTTCCATAATCCGTGAAGAGGTCAACAGTCAAAGGCTTCAACGCAAATCTCATCGTCTTGTACATAATATTCTAAGAATCTTATAATTTTCAACAACCAACTCCACCTACGAAGAGATCAAATTTTCTGAGTAGATTTCATCAATGATGCGAAAGTGATCTCGGATTATTAGTATAAGAAAGACGAGCCAAAGCTACTGCTCGAAAATACAAACGGGCGAAATCCATTGGACTTCCAAAAATTCTTCCCTCGATCCGGAATCATCGATGTCAATTTTATATAAATTTAGTAATGCTAGAATCTTAACGTATTCCAATTTCTTGGAAATTTTGTTTTCATTGGTGGTTTTTACTGGCCTCGGAAGTGCTTGGTATAGTAAACGGTTCAGTCAAGTGTTGTGAATAAAATTTATAAGGTCACGATATTGCATATTTTGTTATATTATTCATCATTCGATTCTCCAAAGCAATAACTGCAGGCTACGACCGGTTTGAATTCTTTGTGCGGGTCTCTTGTATGGTTGATTTAAGATCATTTCTTGCAGTATGTTCGCGCCCAAATCTAGTTGCGCGAATAGCTAGTTGTTAGCATTCTGCATTAAATATAAAATCATCAATCTTTACGTTCCTGTTTCAAACTAACTCTTGATTTTTATGATAAATTATGCACGGACCGGTTACTTTACCACGTGATTGTTCACTTTGAACAAGTGAATAATGGGTTAAACTCTACGTCTTGTATCATTTTGTTAATATTGTTGTGTCAGTCGCCTTTCTTTTGTGGAGTGCCATTACTGCCGTCTGTGACTAGGTTCATTCATTAATGTGCTCAGAAACTAATAGGTAACCGGGGAAAGTAAATTGAGATTGTATTTTATAGTATGCGAACTGCCTTTTGTGTTCACGTCTGTCCTATGTAAATACCCAGTCAGGCCGTTGAAAAGTTCTCCCTGTGGCTTGATATGCTCTGTGTATATTAATTTTGCGCGAACCTTTTATTCTGCTTGGCGCTCTGCGATGTTGTTTGGAAACACATGAGCGCTGGTCAATGAAAATCTTGGATCGTGCAAACTTGTATTTTGGGTAAGGAAAATTCAGGACTGTTTTTTTTAATCACCTATGTACATATTGTACAGACAGCTGTAGCGTGTACGTAGATATTAAGATTTCGTTACATTTGACTTGAAATGAGACGTCGTGCCACGTTGTAGTAGCTTCCTGTGTTGAGTGTAAGTTGCTCTGTTGATGCTCGCATTAGAACTTCAGGATAATTTTAACTCTCTCTTTTCTTCGTGATTACAAAATTCAAATTCGGAGAAAAAACTGGCTAGGGTAATTATTGTGTCTACCTGTACAATATTAGTGATAAGCGCGTCCATTTACAAGGTAAACTATATCGTTCTAGGCTACTTTTACGAAACTTTTTGATATTTCTAAATTTAAGAAAAATTGCTCCAAGTTTAAAGTTAGGAATTTGCTTCCACTCAAGTCCTATGTTGGCAGCTGTCCATGGTAATTTTTCCAGAACCAATATTTTATTATTTTTAGAAATAAATCCATCACTGGTGAAATTTTACAACTCGATCGAATTAAGTATTGAAGGAACTATTGTGAATTGTAATTTTTATGCTACATTTTTTCGATCCCTCGTTCCGCAAATTCACCGCAATTAAATATAATTATCACATGAATTGTCAGTATTCACTTAAAATATTCATTTATTTCTTATGCTACGTGGCTCGGGGTCAGTGTAAAAGTGTAAAGATATTACAGCCAAAGAAAGCTCCGAGCTGGCCTGCAGACCGTAATTGGGATATTGATGAATAAATTACATCCGTCCTAACATTTGTTTGTACATATACGGCAGTGCTTGAAGCTACCTCAGTCGTCTGCTTTCGGTCGTAACTTCTTGATGTCTTGGTTGTAACTTTGCGATATAGATTTTGTTGTGTTGCGTTGTGAGTGTCGGCCATTTGCATCTACTTTTTGGCTGGCCTACAAAGCTTTCTGTTTCAAAAATGATTTCGACTCGGAGGCATTCGTTCCCTCTGGGTATTTCACCGAACTTTTTTTTTACTAATCACGTGTAGCTTTATCTAGGTAATGACTCCCATGTTGCAATTTGTTTTTTTCCTGATGCGTTTTCATAGGCATTCTAATCAATTAATCGAAACGTATACTAGTATTCGGTCCATGTGCAAAAATTCGAATAAGAAATCCCTTACCTGTGCAGCCGTGGGTCATAAATTCAACTCTTAAAATAAGCCTTGGATTCACGACCAGCAGACAATAACACACTACTCTGGAACATTGCTATTCTGACCAGTAACACACCACTTGAAGCTGACAGCGCCGAAGGCCTTCAGTTTACGGTTGAGCATGCTCGCTCATAAGCAGGCAGTTCTGCATCCGGTCTCGCCTACTCCGGCGTACCCTCTTCTGGCCTAACCTATTCACGCTGCTCGACTTAAAACCTTGCAGCCAAGCTCTACCTGCTCACTTGTCTGACTAGAGCCTAATTAAAGGTTAGGTCCGCTCAGGTTTATTGTGGGTTTAAAAATGTTGCAAGGAGAGTAAGTTAGGCCAATTGCAGTATGACCATGCTTACTTTGAGCACGCTAAAACAGTGTCGCAGACATACGACACCGTGGCTTCAACTTTAAGCACAAAACCGATATGCCCTCTAGCGTGCATGAACGCGGAAAGGAATGTAAACTTGAGTGTTAGTTGTGCTAAACTTGCCTGGCATACGTCCCAACTATAATAGACCTTTTTTATAATTTTATCAGTAACGGTACTATATTTGCATGATTGTAAAGCTGAAGCGTTGTAGGGCGATAATTTATTTGTTAAAGACTGATTTTAAAATCTTAGCTCTCTTTACCTGTGTCCGGCCCCTATTTAATAAATGTCGTACTTCTACACCGATATTATTTCTTAATTGCAAAGCTGGTAGATTTACGAATTTTACACATTTTTCAGTAGTCTGGTACTATCATTTTTTGAGTATGCGGAACCTCTGCGCTATGTCAAATAAATGTATATCATATCTTCGGTAATATACTTTTCCTTAATTTTGACCGTCCTTTAACTTTAAGTAAGTTGAACATTTTAACTCGTTTCGGGATCAGTCAAGTTGGCACAGGAGAGGTCCTTCAAGAAAGTCACTTGATACGTGTCCGTCCATCGCGAGTCCTGCGGTGACGCTTGTTAGCGTCGCGAGTTGCATAACTTGCATTAACGTCTCCTTCACCCTGGTATATGACGTCACTCACGTCAGTGTTGCCAGATGGGCCTTTTTCAGGCCAAATTTCGCAAATGTGACCTTTTTCTAAATGCATTGGCCTGAAAATTTTCATTTGGCCTTTTTGTCAGTTTTGGGCCTTTTTTATGAAAAATGTAACTCTCGTTTTTTTATGGTAATTTGGTCCTTCAATTTTATCGAAGACGAGTGCACCCAAATTCAGTTTTGCAAAAGACGAGTACACTCAAATTTTGACACGAAACTGTGTCAACACTCCGGTTTAGGTGGCAACACTAGCGAGTGCCGCCTAATCTGGGCAACACTTTGGTTGAACCATGGTTGAATTAATATACCATGTACCATACCATATAATATACCATATATTCAACCATGGGTTGAACCATGGGACTATACCCAATTGCCGACTCGTATTAATTAAGAACCATGGACGGCAGAGCTGACAGAGCGTATAATCGAGTATAGTTTATTAGTTATTTACATTAACAACATTAGCACTATTTTTTGAGGTTACAGCACAGCTTCTCGATGTATTCAGCCTTCTGGTGTGAGTCACTTCAAGATATCACTTTGAACAAATAAAATTTATTTCCTTTGCAAGTAATGATAGGCAATATATTATTTTCCTGCGCATTCGAAAGTTGTGATAAATTCATAGGATTGACTTTTAATATTTAGATTAGTCTTGCAAGGACCACATCATATCTATACCGCAGAAATGAGTTTAAATTTTTTCATCTTCCGAGTATAAATATTCTACCGTCAATGCCAACATGTCAAAAACTTCGCCATATGGGTCGCCTGCCGAAGACCACTACTGCCCTGGATGTAATGGACCATCATGATTCCTGCCTTCCGCAACGTCGCCTTCATCACTTGAAGCCGTCCGTATCTAGGCCGTAGCTAGGTCGAACCAGCCCTCGGTCGAATGGCTACTTGTCGAAAGACGATAAATTTTGGAACAGAACTATGCTATCTGAAACCAAATCTCAGATGCGGTGAACTTAAAAGTACGCAATTTAACGATGCCCGGAAGTCAGATTCTATCCGCGGCCTGGTGGTGCACGGCAGGTTCTATGCGAGGCTGGAGGAAGACGCCGAGTGGTTCACGGCTGATTGGTGGATGTCCGGAGATATCCAAGGCGTTCGATTCAGGCTTATTGGTGCACAAAATTGGTGGTGCACGGCTGCGCTCCCCGCCAACATCACTTATGTCGCCTACCACTTTACTATCTATTTTGTTAGCAAAGTAGCAAAACTGAGCCCAAACTCTCTAACGCGAACGAAAAGCTTTATGGTTGTTAGGTGGCAATTGAATCCTCAATATCATGTAATATACGGTTTTATTTACGGTCGGCGAGTAACGTGCAATTCGCTGCATGCTGGCGGCTTATGTAGCATTGACGGTAATTCAGCTCATACACGTGATAAAATTGGTGTATTTTTTGCTGTCTGAAAGCCTTGAGAGTAAATGCATGCACTGCAAATGGTTAGAACTACCTTAAATTTTAAAATTTCTATTAATTTCAAATGGGGCCTTTTGGGGCCTTTTTTGTGAGTCAAATTGGCCTTTTTCCCTTGGCTCCATCGCGCAAACCCTGTACAGAAAGCAGCTCATGCATTAACCGAGGTATCAGATCATCAGATGAGGCCGTGATGAGCAGGGAGGACAAGGTGAGAGAGATAAGAGTGGCAGTCCGGAGAGCTTGGGAGGAAGGATGGCGACAGAGGGCAGCAATTACTAACACTGGGCACCACCTTTTGAAAATTAGAGACCGAGTGGGTCAGTGGGATATTGGCCTTGGTCATCCATCAGGGAGAGAACCATTGAAACCGCATTGGCGAAATTCAGATTAGGGCATGTGGGACTTGGGGAGCACTTGTTCAGGTTTAATATGACTAACACAGACCTTTGTTTATGTGGGAGAGTTGAAACAATCCAGCACTTCTTCTTGCAATGCCCATTATTTACTGACAGTCGCTCAGATTTGCTGACCCAACTGCACTCAATTGGAGTTCCAGTTACATTAAAATGCATATTAGGTGGAGGAGAATATCCTCATAAAATCCAAGCACAAATTATGCAAAGTGTATCACTTTTCTTAGCCTCAACGAGTCTCGCAATAACGGCTCGCATTCTTAGCATTCTTAACATCTACGCATAATACATGTTCAATATTACCTATGTTCAATATTACCTACTTTATTCAAATGTTAGTGCATCACCTGTAAGGGGGAGTTGCTGGAGGTTGTCTCACTGTCCTTAAGATTAGTCTTTGGACCAAGAAATTATTCTTTTTTGCCCCCATACCCGGACTGTAGTAGTGGTAAAGTATGTGTAGTAGGGTCCGTGGTATGCTCGTAAATATCTAGTCACTTCCCCCTGAGAACAAATTGAATTCTCCAGGCTGCGCCAGCCCAGGCTGGACCATTTTGGCCCTATGAATCCTTGTGTCCAAATGACAAGATTAGTGCTAGGTAAGGGTTACTAACTGGTAGACTAATCAGATGCACTATTTAACGCTCATAAGACACAATTATTTTGCCTAATAGCCTTATTTATTACAGATTGGCTTGCCAGACGAGGGAGCCTTTTGAGCCGTGAGGTGTATGGAGGACGACTCCACTTCCTCAAGAAGCAGACAAAACAACAACAACAACAACCCTGTACAGTGTACAGTGACGTCAGACGTGCGAGTCTGCACGTCACCCGCTGAGGGGTAGCCGCAAACGGCGTGCGGGCATGGCCGTTATGCGTTAGGTGTCATTATAGCTTTAAAGTAATTGAATTTACACCTGTTTTTGCTCACTTCGCTGTAGGTATCCTTATTGGAGCCTACCGCTGATAAAGCCTACCACTACCTGTGGGCTGTGACTACGGTACTGACTAAAACCCGGACCCGGACTGGTCCGCCGGACCCGGACCGAGTGACTAAAACCCGGACCCGGACCGGTCCGGCGGACCAGTTTCAAAAAAATAAAAGGCTGCAAATCATCTGAAACGTCGAGAAAACTTTTAATTTCACATATAAAATTTTTATATTTACTTCGTCGCACCAACATATTCGGGTCACAGAAAAGTTCATTTCTCGATCAAACTAATCGATAGAGAATCTTCTGAAACGTCCAGAAAACATAAAAAGTTGGTATCGAATTTTCGAAAATTTACTTAGAAAAATTTCACTTCAGGTCCGGGGAGCCCCGGACCAAGCGAGTAAAACCCGGACCC